GACCCAAAATTGGGTTGAAACAACCCAGCATTTTTTAGAGTGTGGTTTGAGCTGGTCCTTTGCTGGTTTATGCTGGTCTTAAGATGGTCGGACCAGTTTAGGACCAGCACATGACCAGCTAAGCACCAGCATAAACCAGCAAAGGACCAGCTAAAACCAGCATCCCAGCTTCAAAACATACCTAACCAGCATATGCTGTTTTTTTCAATGGGAAATCAAAAAAATAAACCCTACCGACACCATCTAACGTGAGTTTACATAAACGTAAGGCTATATACATACTTATGTCATCCTGGCGCGTTACAAACTTAAGTGTTTTGTCGTTGGGATCATAGCGTTTTTCTTCCCGCTGTTGTTCCGTCATGTTTCTCCAGCAGGTGGTTTACAAATGAAACCTAGGTTAGGCTATATGTTGACAGTGTTTTGTTCTCTTTCCAGTTTGTCACATGGCTTCTCGGCTGAGATTAGATAAAAGTTTGATAGTTTGATTTTTTTATTATTGTTATTATCTAAAGAGCAAAGATATAGGCGAATATGGCCCTATTTATTTTTTTATCAAATAGCCTAGGCTAGGGCGTCAACACTCAAGCATATAAAACGGAAAGTGAAACGTCCGCGGTTCATACGGAGTTTTGCAATAACTTGTTTAGGTGTTCTCCTAAAATGGGAAAGATTTACCAGATCATAGTGGTTGGAATAAAGGGGGAGAAGAAAACGGTCGATGTTGCGACATCAGAGGAAGAATTCAACAAAACGACAATTTTGCAATTCAAAAAGAAAGTTGCAGAAAAATTGCCCGGGCAAGCAGGTAATATCAAATGCTAAAATATGTTAATCAATTTTGTCATAGTCTAATTAAATAGCCTATAGTATACATTATTCTAAAAAAGTTTAAAAATTTATGTTTTATTTCCGATCACGTTTGTAACCGATGGTGAACCCCACATCGTTAAAAATAGTTATACCCTAATTTTAAGCATTTGTGGAGAGCAGAGACTAAGGAAATGTAGCCTACTTTTCTTTTTTCTAATAATCTACTAATACACTCTAAAAAAATGCTGGGTTAAATACAACCCAGTGCTGGGTAAAATAGGGACAAACCCAGCAATTGGGTTGTTTTGACCCAGTGGCTTGGTTACTACCCAGAAGGTTGGGTTAAACATTTAACCCAACCGCTGGGTCAAAACACCCCAATTGCTGGGTTTGTCCCTATTTTACCCAGCACTGGGTTGTATTTAACCCAGCATTTTTTAGAGTGTATTAATTATTTGTTAATAATTAATTATTAATAGCCTAGTAATAAATTCTGTTCGAATGTTTTAACCTTGCTTCTTAAATCTTACCATAGGGGGTGATCCATCGTCCCTGAGGCTGCTGTACACAGATAAACAACTAGAAGACAATGATACGTTTTTAGACCACCAAATCAAGGATCGCTCCACTCTCTTCATGGTCTTACGTCTACCCGGAGGTTTCCAAACATGCTAAGAAGAACCGAGTCCCTGCCGGAATGAAGTCCACCTTAAGGATCTCGTCGACAGGACAACATTTTAAACACAGAGACACTTCTACATTCATTGACTAATGAATCAATTTGTTGTTAGCTAGCCAATGTATAGGCCTATTATGAGTGTGGGATCTGTGGGATATTATGGTCACTGATCTGTCACCTCACATCGGGGATAATCAGTCTTTGAAACCCATCTCAGGAATTTTATCTATAAAGAAAATAATCTTTGATTTTAAGTCTTGTGACTTATGATTGTTAGCCTACTTCTTTGACAAATTAGCCTATTTTACTATTTACGTAGCATATAGGCTACAATGAATAAATCCTGCTTAGTTTTTTTCAAATGAATGATATTATCCTAATAAAATGTGAAATAAAATGATCAATTTTGAATGATGTTCTGCAAAAGTTCTGTCCACTTGACGGTTCGTCGTTACTTTAACGCGCGAATTCGAAAGTAAAACTATAACTTGTCATTTTTCTGGCGAAGTTGGACTGTGCTTTGTCCTCGTTGAATTTCCTGTAGGCTACCAGAAGAAAATGCGACTTTCATCTGAGGTAATTTCGGATGCAAAATATTCGATGCATATTCGAATAGTCTTAATCATTTAATTCACTAGGCTATTAGTATAAAGTCTGTTTAGTCTAAACTTTAGACCAAAGCCAAAAACGACCCTTATTTTTACGCAGAAAACACGCAGTTGTAAATGTGAACTGGTGGATCGACAAGAAGATAATGAATTATAAAACTCTAAAGATATAGCGTTTGGTTACTACCCAGAAGGTTGGGTTAAACATTTAACCCAACCGCTGGGTCAAAACAGCCCAATTGCTGGGTTTGTCCCTATTTTACCCAGCACTGGGTTGTATTTAACCCAGCATTTTTTAGAGTGTATTAATTATTTGTTAATAATTAATTATTAATAGCCTAGTAATAAATTCTGTTCGAATGTTTTAACCTTGCTTCTTAAATCTTACCATAGGGGGTGATCCATCGTCCCTGAGGCTGCTGTACACAGATAAACAACTAGAAGACAATGATACGTTTTTAGACCACCAAATCAAGGATCGCTCCACTCTCTTCATGGTCTTACGTCTACCCGGAGGTTTCCAAACATGCTAAGAAGAACCGAGTCCCTGCCGGAATGAAGTCCACCTTAAGGATCTCGTCGACAGGACAACATTTTAAACACAGAGACACTTCTACATTCATTGACTAATGAATCAATTTGTTGTTAGCTAGCCAATGTATAGGCCTATTATGAGTGTGGGATCTGTGGGATATTATGGTCACTGATCTGTCACCTCACATCGGGGATAATCAGTCTTTGAAACCCATCTCAGGAATTTTATCTATAAAGAAAATAATCTTTGATTTTAAGTCTTGTGACTTATGATTGTTAGCCTACTTCTTTGACAAATTAGCCTATTTTACTATTTACGTAGCATAGGCTACAATGAATAAATCCTGCTTAGTTTTTTTCAAATGAATGATATTATCCTAATAAAATGTGAAATAAAATGATCAATTTTGAATGATGTTCTGCAAAAGTTCTGTCCACTTGACGGTTCGTCGTTACTTTAACGCGCGAATTCGAAAGTAAAACTATAACTTGTCATTTTTCTGGCGAAGTTGGACTGTGCTTTGTCCTCGTTGAATTTCCTGTAGGCTACCAGAAGAAAATGCGACTTTCATCTGAGGTAATTTCGGATGCAAAATATTCGATGCATATTCGAATAGTCTTAATCATTTAATTCACTAGGCTATTAGTATAAAGTCTGTTTAGTCTAAACTTTAGACCAAAGCCAAAAACGACCCTTATTTTTACGCAGAAAACACGCAGTTGTAAATGTGAACTGGTGGATCGACAAGAAGATAATGAATTATAAAACTCTAAAGATATAGCCTACACTAAGATATATTTATGTTACTAAATTAATATAATTGTTTGATAATAATTGTTTAAATTAATATAAAAATAATATAATATAATACAATATAATTTTTTACTTTTGACTCCGAGCAACAAGCAGTGGAGTATTATCGGAAGATTTTAAAAGCAGTGAAGACCCATGCCAAGGTATTTCACGTATTAGCTAAATGTTGCTGTAAATAAGTCTGTTATGCAGACAGATATGCAATAACATTAAATAGCCTATATATCAAAAATGACTTGCATACCAACAGCACAATTCATTTGTTCCAGGCATTTGAAAGGAAAATGAGCAACATAACAAAATTCTGTAAATTTAGCAAGGAAACCAGAGAAACCAACACCTTCATCTCAATACTTCTGTCTATTGATGTTGGAAATTATGAGACTTATGATGTAGTAAGAAGACTAATCATGTCCATCATATGCAAAACAAAGTTTATGTTAGAAATGTTTTTTGTTCTTGGAGACTGTTCATTGCTTTACAGTTGCTTCCCAATAAAACTGAAGGGTGTAATTGTTTTTTTCATGGTGACCCTATAGGAAAACGGTCTGAAAACCTTTAAGCATTCATAACTAGAAGAGGATGACTGGATGTACTGTGATGAATGTGACCAAAAAACAGAAACAGAAACTGTGAGTAAATGAAAATGTAAACATCCATCACTCATTCAGATGACCGTTCTATGAACCTGTCAAAAAAGGAAAGTATGAGTTTTCAACATGTGCTTAAAATGTGCTTTTTCTTTTTTTTCTTGCAATTTTCCCACTCTTGCAGTGGAGTGAAATAGATTAATATCCCTCTGTTCTCACTCTGCATCTGAAGAGGTTTGACTTGATACAAGAAGAATGAATGTCATCTGGATGTACCTCTGTCTACCTCCAAGTACCTCCAATGAGGTATCATTAATAAATCATCATACCAAAGGTAAACTGCTATTTAAAATCAATACAAAATAGTCTAAACATTAAAAACCCTTGTCTGTCTCTGCAGGATAATTGGCCTAAATATTATCTTTATGCCGTTATCAACCATAAGGGTGGATACACTGGTGGACACTACAATGCAATCATCAGATCTTATGAAAATGAAATATGGTACCGTTTTGATGACTGCACTGTAACACATGTACATTTGTTTGTTGGTTTGATTAGCATATAGCTAATTTATATAACAAACTGTACTTATAATTTATTCTTTAATATTCATGTCAATTTTTACAGACTTCAGAAGCATCACTGAAAAAGTGAGTGTTGTTCTCTCTCTCTCGTGATGAATGTGAAAAGTATTTCTTGGAAGTAGTGTTTAGTAGTAAAAAGTATTTTCTTTTTTCTTTGACAGCTCCAATCTAACATACTTGCTGATGTACAGAAAAGGTAAGGGTGAAATACACTAACTCCATTTTTTTTTAAATGTTGATATTTCAGAGACAACAAAGGCTGTAAAATATTCCTTAAAATGTTTATGTTTAGTTTATGTGTATGTGTTGTTCAAAACAGCGGTTCCACATCCTTTAAGGATCCTTCTAATAGGGCCTTCCAGATCTGGGAAAAGTACAGTAGGCAACATCATCCTTGGTGGAAATTACTTTCCTTGTGAAAGTGGATCAGAGACTGTGACCAAAGAGTCCATGGCAAAGACAGTGGAAAAGATCACTGTAGTGGACACTCCAAATCTCTTTTCCCTCGAAGAATTGAGTTGGAGAAAGGAAATGGAAAGATGCATTGAGTTATGTGACCCTGGCCCCAATGTGATTCTCTGGGTCACACCAATATGTACATTTAGCGATCAACAACAAGGTCTTTTCCATGCCTTCAGAAAACGACTAAATTCAGGAGCCACAAAACATATGATGATTATCTTCACAAATGGGAGAAAGCTTGAAAGAATTGAGCAACCCATTGACACATTTATTTCAGAACACAGCAAGCTTGGTAAAGTGGTCCGTAGTTGTCAGAACAGGTACCATGTCATTGACATCACTATTGGTCACAATTACACCCCAGAACTGCTTAAAAAACTTAGCAGGATGGTGGCATCAGAGTATAGCGCAATTTCAAAAAGACAATTAAAGCATTGTACTAGAAGAAGAAGACAAAAATCCATAAAACATTGAAGAGATCAAACGTCCTGAGTCTTACAGACAAAATTACTGAAAAGAAATTGAGTACACAAAAACTGTGAACAATGAGGGAAGATGAAATCATTTGGAATGTGGTGAATCACTGCATGTTTTCAACTTCCTTTTGATTTCCTTTGAATGTTTTTTGTACATTATTGTTTTAAAAACATCTGACTTTGACAAATTAAGTTCTTGAAGAATGCTGATATTAAAATTAACATATATAATCAACATTCATAACAATTAAGCCCTTTCAGAAAATTGAAAATAAACAACATAAATGGAACTAAATGAATCTAATGCTTTAACCAGATATTTATTTGTTTCTTTGTATTAAATGTGTATTCATCTTATACATTTATCATTTTTAACCTTACCTGCTTGCAACAATGACATTCAAATTCAAACAATGTAACAGACATTAGAAATATTTTTTTTTTTTTTTAAAGAATGAATTGAGTCTTTTGATTAATTATCATTCATTGTTGAATTAAGAGAAGAAATAAAGTATGGTCATATTTGCATTTAACATCATTTAGGTCTGAGAGGGTTCAGACTACAAAGACTCATAACAATAATCATGTTAATAGTACCTTTAAAAGTTGATTTATTCGACCGAGTCAACAGGTGTAATGATCAGAGGATGCGAGTTCTGCCCTTTCTTACATTCTCCAGGACTGAAATATGGATAGAGCTTTCCAGGAAAAGACTGCCCAGTGAAAGAATAGATATGATACCTGGCTTCAACATCATAAAAAGAGACCAAACCCTCCTCAAAATCCACAAACACTCCCACTTTCACTGGCTTCTCTTTCAAGGTGAGAGGGACAGGGGGGCTGTCATTCGCTGCATACTCAGTCCTGTTCCTCAGCCATATAGTCCAATATCCATTCTCTGGGTTGAGCCCAATATCCCCTTTTCTGTCAATGCATTCTTTTGCCACACCTAAATCCCACTCCATCGCACTGACTTGAACCTCATAGTAAAATTTCTGTGAGGAGAACCCCTCCTTTCCTAAGACACATGAGCAATAATTAAACCTTTCTGGGGTGTCAGGAATCTTCTGTGACTTGCCTGTATTCCAGACCTTTTTCCCATCGTCAGACAGCATAAGCTCAGGATGAGCTGTGTCAGGGTCAAGTGTCACATCCACTGAAAAATGATATAAAGGTTCATGTAAACTTTTGGCCAAGTCATT